GAAAAAAAAACACTCAACAAAATAGGAATTAAAGGTAAATTCCTCAGCCTAATTAAGAACATATATACAAAATCAACAGCCAACATCACTCTCAACAGAGAGAAACTGAAAGCATTCCCTTTGTGAACAGAACCAGACAACAATGCCCTTTATCACCACTCCAATTTAATATTGGGTTGGAGGTCTTAGCCAGAGCTATAAGGCAAGAAAGGGAAATTTAAGGCATCCAAATTGGCAAAGAAGAAGTAAACCTCTATTTGCAGACTGCTCTGGTAGCGTAGTGGTTACGAATCGGGCTGCGAACCTCAAGGTCGGAAGTTTGAACTACCAGCTGTTCCATGGGAGAAAGATGAGGCGGTCTGCTCCTGTAAAGATTTACAGCCTCGGAAACCCTGTACAGGGTCGTTATGGGTCGGAATCAACTCGACAGCACTTAACAACAACAACATTGTAAAAGCTTAAGAAAAGATTTCCATACTAAAAGAAACATTCTTTGATGGTTAACACTGGTGGAAGAGAGGGAACAGTAATTCAGTGGCTTGAGGGTAGACACATTTTAGCTTGGGTGATGGGGAGGACAATATACAAGAAGGAAGAGGGCAATACACAAGAAGAGGGAGAGTGGTGGGTGAATAATGAAGATAGGTGAAAATTTAGGGTGGTATGCATACGCTAAATGGGATGCTCTGGACTGTAAAGGTCGGTGGTTCAAGCTCACCGGCCACTCCTCAGAAACCCTATACAGGGTCACTATGAGTTGGAACCATCTTGACAGCACTTAACAACACCAAACAATCTGGAACAAAAGTGTTCTGTGAGTAGATATATGGATTGACATATTGGCTGAATGGGTAGAGGAAAGAATAAATGTTTATGTGTTTGACTGTCTTGTGGATATTGATTTCCTCTGCTTTTTACTGCAAAATAGACATTTATGTGGGATAGAAATGAATATTGGAAATTATTATTACAGAAAGCTTGTAAGCCTGTTTTTGACCTATAACTGACTGGATTAGATAAAAGGGTGTTAGAATTTCTCCAGGGAAATAGGCTTCTTGTTAAGCCTTTGTAGGTGAAATCCTGAGCCCCACCTGGAACATTCTGAGTTAGAACATTCCCACTTGAAAAGACATTCATACCAACTCAAAAACTGTTGGGAGAACAGAAGATTGCTATTGAAAGAAAGACCTGTAGAAAAACAGCAGACTGTTTGGCTGTTTGGATTTCAAGCAAGCTATGGTAGCATCGATGGACTCAAGAATGGCAACAGTAGTGAGGTTGGCCCAGGATCGGGCTGTGTTTCCTTCTGCTGTGCATACTGTCGCTATGGGTCAGCACCAACTCGATGGCACCTAACAACAACAACAACAACATTTGCTTTGGTGGCATCATAGCAAGAAAAGTTAGCCTATCAGGGAAAACCCCCTTCTAGGACTGAAACTTAAAGGGAACCTGTGAGCAGTCTAGTATACTCACTGGTGACCACCTGGGTCTACTGGTGAGTGGAAGTGTGGGAAGTGTAGCAATGAAGACACAGGCTGAGACTGCCCATGTTCCATTGATACCTATTGACCTTGAAATGAGGAGAGAAGAGGAAGGACTGAAGTTTAAAGAGCTGTGTAAACTCCTGAGCCCATGAGCACTGACCTAGCCCCTGGGGTCTAGGACTGAGAGCGAAGTATCCAGAGGATCTGAACTGCAGGGAGGTATATGGGAACCTTCCAAACTTCCAGCTGGTACCCATCTGACCTAGCATGGATGGCTAATTGACCAGAACTTGACCAGATGAAGATAAAGATGTCTGATACTGTGAGCAATTATAAACTGCTCCAATTTGATGAACTGGATGTTTGCTTATAGATACAGTTGCTCAAAATTCCAGCCGGAATGGAAGATTCTTCATATCAAGGAACTAGCTTGTTTCCTCAATTTACTGGGTTGATAGGGATGGGCAATTTAAACATTGGCTTTCAAAAACTGGGGACTGTGTGGTGCTGTAGGATCAGCACTGGAATTGCAAACCACAAGATCAGCAGTTCAAACCCACCAGCTTCTCCTGGGAAACCCTATATGTGCTCACTATGAGTCAGAACTAACTTGACAGCACTTAACAACAATAAAAACATGAAGTGGTTCACTTACAAGCTTTCATGAGTTTTCTTAGTTTCAGAATGAGGGAGGTAAGGTAGAATACCCACTGAATAGTTTCCTCTTTTCCACATGAATCTGGTGAAAGGTGGTGGGGGATGAAGTTAATAGGGTTTTATGATTCAATTGTGAGTGAGTAATTGGTAGCAGAATTAATTGTGATTGTCACAACTGTAATTGTAGAAGATGTGTAATTTAAGAGGTGAATAGTCAATCTTTCATTTCAGGAACAAATGATCTCAGGGCCATCAAGAAAGAAGAGCCATGTGTGAAGTGTGATAATCCTACCTAGAAAAACAGAGATGGTGGCAGAGGCAGTGGCATGGAGAGACAAAGCAGATGCAGGCTCTAGGTCTATGGAGTGAGTAAGGTTGTGCGTCTGTAGGCAGGAAATTGGGTTGCAGAATGTGCCCTGGCCATTTAAATGAATATATATTTTTTGCTTTGTGTGTGTACAAGAAATACTTTTGCTTTGTTCCTTTGTGAAATATAAGATGTAAACGGGAAGCCAGGAGGAGGAAGTAGAATAACTGTTGTTACAGGGAGGAGTCCTTAATCATTGAGATGAAACGAAGTGTATCATTTGTTGAATGTAAAGCTGATGATCTTGACTATAAATCTTCACTCAATGCACAACAAAAAGTTAAAGAAAAAACCCTTTTATTTCCTATATCATATACCCCATACATATTGTCATTTTACATACACACTCTTCTGGTGGAAAAATAATTCTCAGGACAACTGACTATGTTTTATAATCTAATCTCTGATGTACCGAAGTTGTTTTTTTTTTTTTTAAATCTTGCATCCGGGTGCTTGTCGGTTGGTTGGTTACTCTAACATTCTAGTCTAGCAAAATGAAATTGACACTTAATCAAATTTCAAGTGGAGTATTTTTTAACATGAAACTCCTCTCTGAATAGGAAGGAAACTAAAGCATTGATTTGCACAAAAGCAATTAGTCCTTTGAAATGAGTGTCTTCTCATCTTGCACATACATAAGAAATAAAAGTCAAGGTTTCTATAACTGTCAAAGAAGAGTTCTCTGCCTTCTGTTGGCAAGGCAGTGGAGAGATATCAGTACTCAGATATATTGCTGTGGGGAGTAAAAACTGGTACAACACCTGTGAAGACTGTTTGGCAATACTTACTGAAATACCACTTCTGAGACTTTTTGCTACAAATAACAACAACAACTGTTCATCAGTTGGGGGTGCTGCTTAAATTACAAAATCGAATACAATGGAATTTGACACTGTGGCTAAAACACAGTGCTTCCAGGCGTGGCTGCCATAGCCAGATGACATGGGATTAAGTATTGTGTTCTCTGCAATGCTGAGCTAGAGCTCATTGCCAGCCTGGATCGTGAGATCAGCTGATGAATTTTCAGGGATTTGGGAACTACTTGTTAAGTTCAGTCTCAATTAAAAATTGTATAAATTTACAATTAAGTAAATTTGATCAAAAACAAAGTTAAATACCCCAAACTCATTACAGTCTAATTATTTCTTTATTTTCTGTCTAATGTAGATCTAGAGTCCTGGTGTGGTGCTGTGGGTTAATGCCCTGGACTGCAACGTTGGTTTGAACCATAAGGTAGGTGGTTCAAACTCACTAACCGCTCCTCAGAAACGTCATCCAGGGTACCTAAGGGTTGGAACTGACTTGACAGCACTTAACAACAAATGTAGATCTAATAATGGAATCTAAGATACCAACCATCATGACGATATATATACTATGGTTACTTACTTCGATTATATCTATATGATAAATATGCAATAGTGTCCAATTCCTTCCAACTCAGTGCTAAGAATCTTTATGTTGGAATATTGAAATTAGCTATGATGGAAAGATTTACACCACAGAAATTAGCAAATGCTACAAATGAGGCCTTTTTCTTTTTCCTTTTTTTTTTTTTTTGAAGAGTCATTTGTTAATCATTTATCAGCATACCACTAGGTAACTGTAACATACTTCAGTTTTACAATCTGGAGAATTTGAACAATAGTGGTACCTTCTCTATGAGATTATTGTTAAACTGAATGAGTTAATATGTATAAAGCAATGAGAAAATAGCGGGCATGTTGTAAGATCAATATAAGAGTTATCGGCTTGGTTCATGGTGTGGCACTGTGGAATAAGCACTGGACTGCTTGCTAACTGCAAGTTCAGTGGTTCAATCCCACAATAGGGTGACTATGAGTCAGAACTGACTCGAGGGCCCTTTAACAACAACTGAAAATTCTGTTTATTACTATTATTAACACAGAATGATGTCTAAAAGTTATAAAATTGTTTTTAAAGGCTCATAAAATTATGTATAGTATGCTATCTTTTAGCTCTAAAATGGGAAATTAAAAATTCAGTCATAATTTATTATATTTGCATAAGGATCAATAAGACAGTAGTAAAAGTGCTCTCCTGTTTGCCTTTGGATGGAGAGTAGGAAAATTAGGCATATGAAGGCCCTGGGTAACAGTAAGACTTTTAAGTGTACACTGCATTTTTATGAAATATTCTGTTCCTAAACTATGTGAATACGTTACCTATTCAAAACATTACATTGAAAAAGTAACTTTTTATTAATTCATCAAGAATTTCTCCTACATCTGCTGTAGTCAAAATGCTACGGAAAATGCTCTATAAATTTCAAAAAAGACACAAAAGAAAGCGAGACCATGGTTTCTGCCCCCCCACCCCCCCAAAAGAGTACAAGAATGCTCAAAGCACATGCAGGCAGAACAGCCTGGGGCAAGGGGCAGACACACAGGCTGATCAGCAGCATAGAAACACTTCAGGGCTTTGCACTTAAATTACAATGAAATTAAATGGCTCTTAACTGTACTCACCCTGTTGTATAAGGGATGTTTATGCCTCCTAGATTAATACTTTCACATCCAACAATAAAAAGGGTCGAGAAACACAGTAAAGACACACCACTGCAGATCATGGCGAGTTTCGCAGATTCTCTTGCACCAAGTTTCAATTTTTTAATAATGTAACCACCCAGAACAATACCAACACCAGCACTGGGGACAATAATAAGACCTGGAAAGAAGAAGAGAAAAAAGGGTTGATCTTAAGTACTATATATAATTGTTTGTCTTTTCTAACTATTTTTCTCTATTTACTCATTAGTACTAAGGTAAAGGGAACCCTGGTGTGGAGCTGTGGGCTGTCAGACTGCAAAGTCATTTGAACTTCAAGGTCTGTGGTTCAAGCTCATCAGCTGCTCCTTGGAAACCCTACGCAGGGTCGCTATGGGTCGGAATCGACTCAATGGCACTTCACAACAGCAACAACTATGGTAAAGAGTAAAAACATACTATAATCAATAAATCTTTATGGTGTTCACACACACTATTTTATTTTACATAATACTATAAAGTTATATAAGGTGCTCTGGTAGTGCAGTCGTTATGAATCGGGCTGCTAACCTCAGGGTCAGCAGTTTGAAACTATCAGCTATTCTGCGGGTGAATGATGAGGTTTTCTGCTCCTGTAAAGATTTACACCCTCGGAAACCCTATACAGGGTTGCTATGGGTCGGAACCGACTCGATGGCACATAACAATAGGTAAATTAACTCTACTATGAAGATAAGTCAAAAAGAATTGCTACTAGGGTTCCAGTTCATAAACATTTGGGTTTATTCTGTAATCAATGCATGGTTGCAACAAATTCTCTCAGTCATAAACTTATCTTAGTCTCTTTAGGGCACCTTCAAAAAAAAAAAAATCCAATCACAACAGCGGCTTCTTAGAGAATCTGTTGGGCCACGTTCAATTCAAGATTCAAGGCAGAAAGAGCCACTCAAAAGGTTATGGTGACTGTTTTTTGGAGGGAGTCCCAAGGGGTAATCTTGATAGATTTTCTCAAAGGACATGGGGCAATTACAGGGCCTTATTAGGAATTAGTTTTATGAAAATGAAAAACTGCATTGGTGAGAAAAAGTCAGGAATATTGTGCTGAGGATTTTTGTTATGTTTTGGGGTTTTACCCCATCACGGCAATGTACCTGGCTCATTCTTTGAGAGCAGCAAGGGCTGTCCTATGAAAATTTTGTTGGGAATCATTATCCCATCCATCCTACATCCTTGATCTTGCCTTTCATACTTTATATTGTTCCCCAAATTAAAAAAAAAAAAAATTAGAAGGAACACCATTTGAGTCCCTTAAGGGTGCCAAAACTACCATTTTGACATGGTGTAAATCAAAGACCACAGAACTACTGAGAAAACGGGTTGTTACTGTTAGCTATTGAGTCAGTTCTGACTCATAGCAACCTTGTATAGGGTTTCCCAGGATCGGTTGGTGGGTTTGAATGACTGACTCTGTGATTAGCAGCTCAGTGCTTATCCTACAGTGCCACACCAGGACTCCTTGAGGTTTGTTATTGTTGTTAAGTGCCATTGAGTAGGTTCTGATCCATAGTGACCCTGTATAGGGTTTCCGAGGAGCAGCTGGTGAGCTTGAACCGCAGATCTTGCAGTTCCAACAGTTTTGCAGTCTGGAGCATTAACCCACAGCGCCACACCAGGGCTAAGGGTAGAGAGCTGGCAACACTGCCTTACAAAGTGTATAGACTTGTAGGATGTATCAAGAAACAATAGATTCACATTTTGATATTTATGCTTAATAGCGGTTTCTATGATTTTATAGTAGTACACTTTTTGACTTACCCTTTTATACTTACATAATACTTCAGTATAACTATTCAGCAATAAAAAACAAAGAACAACCTTAGAATTAACAGAAAAGCTTTTTTTTTTTTTTTTCCTAGAAAACTATAAATGTTGATGAGGGTGTAGAAAGACTGGAACCCTCACAGACTTCTGGTGGAACTGTAAAATCGTACAACCACTGTGGATAACAGTTTGGCTCTTCCTTTAAAAACTGGAAATAAAGCCACTGAAGATTCTACTATTGGTCCCTCCTCACCTACAGCAAAGAAGAGTGAAGTAATCCAAAGAGGCAGGGAAACAGCTGTTTGGGCGGCATCTAGGCCAATTGGCATAGCATAGTTTAGAAAGATAATGTTCTATATCGTAGTTTGGTGAGAAGTGTCTGTCTGGGTCTTAAGACCTTTTGGGTGGCTGTCTAAGATGTACCTATTGGTCTCCTCTCTTCTGGAGCAAAAGAGAGTACAAGTCACCAAAGTTTCCAGGAAACAACCCACGGAACTAATAGCTCCTATGAATCATAGCCCCCCTCTAGTCTGAGAACAACGTGCACAGTTGTACAATTGATATTGTGCCTTCTATGTACCAGGTCTATTTATATTTATTATCTATAATCTTCTTTCTAACTAGCAAGGTAGACATTTCCATGACAAAGGAAAGAACTCAGATTCAGAGAATTTAGTAAACTTGTCCATGATCACATGATTATTATGTCCCTGGTCAGAGCAGACAGTAGTGGTAGCTGGGCACCATCGAGTTCTTCTGGTCTCATGTGGGCCATTAGTTCTTTGGACTAAATTCTTCCTTGAATCATTGGTTTCTTTTACTCTCCTTTGCTCCAGAAGGGAGGAGACAAACTGTTGCCTCTTATATGACCAATGGAAAGTTCTGAAGACCCCAGATGCTACTCAGCAAACTAGGATGTAGAACATTATCTTTATGAGACCAAGATGTTCCTGAACAGCTCCACCGCCCATAATGGAAAACTAAGTCAATTCTTAGAGTAAAGAGATACTGAAAACTTTAAAATATGGCAAATGGTTAGAAAACCACTGTAGCAAAGTGGAAGGAGTACTAAATAAGAATACATAGTAAGCTCAGAGTACCGTGAGTACATAGACTGAGAGTACTTGGGGTCCAGATTATATTCAACGCCAGAAATCTGCAGCTGATCAGGGTGCTCTGTGAGATGGCTCGCTGCCCCGTGTTCAACAACACACATTCCGAAGCCCAGGAGGGGGGCTGGATTAACCTAATTGGATTAATCCAATATTCATCTCTTAATTCTCCCCACAATTCTATATAAAAATAGGTAATAGCCCCATTTTACAGATGAGGAACTGAAGACTCAGAAAAATGATTTGCTTCAATTTCACCCAGGGAAGGAGAGACAGTCCAAGTGAAAACTGAGGTTTTCCAAATTCAACCTCAACCCTCACTACGTATAACAACAGCTGTTTCTTAACAATAGCCAAATCCTGGAATCTTTTAAAAACCTTGACCAGAGTTCTGGGGTCTTGTTGCTGTTGTTAAGTGCTGTTGAGTCAGTTGTGACTCATAGTGATCCTGTATAGGGTTTCCAAGGAGCAGCTGGTGGGTCTGAACCACCAACCAACCTGTTCATTAGCGGTCCAGTATCTATCCTACAGCACCACACTACGAGTCCTATGGGGTCCTAAGAACTGGTTAATAAAGTATGTCTTCATAAGGAGAAATACATTCTATCAATACTATTAAAGAGTCAGTGCTTTACCTTTAGAATGGAAATGATGCATTAATAAAATTCATATTTCAACTGAATAATTTATGGAGTGAGAGGCCCTGTGCTAGGCCCTAGGACAACAACAAAACAAATTCCCATGTTCATGTTGAGTCATAATTAAAAAAGCAGTATTGGACTATGCATCCTAATTACCATTTAGCTCTTAGAAACAGGATATAATATGAGATTACATCAAGCATTGTGAAGACCATTAAAATCTTTTCCTAGGGTTCTCTCAGGTCTTCAGTTTGAGAGACCCAAATATTTTGTGTGGGACAAGTCAGGAAGATTTAGAACTAGTAGACAGTTGAGCCTTTTCGTCATCTCACCTTGAAGCCCCTGGATTTGGCTAAATCAGCTTCAGTACTTGGGCGTTAAACTTGGAGAGCAGTGTAGTCTGAGGCGGAGGGACTGGGAGTTGATTTCTCCATCCACACCACCATCGAGACCTCCTGACTTCCCCACTCTACAGAAGGTGCCCTCATGGCAGAAGATACCCTGCTGAAGCTAACCTGCCTGTGTTTATATTCACATCACTGCTGATGCAAGTGGAGTCACTAGGTACGTTTTGGGGGGTGTATAGAATGTGCTAGGTGACATTGTCAGAGGAGTAACACCAAAATAACTTTCTATAAAATTTTTGTGTAAGGTTTCAGTAGAAATGTATTTATTTCAGTAGAAATAAATTGTGTTGTTGTTGTTAAATGTCATCCAGTTGGTTCCAACTCACAGTGACCCTGTATAGGGTTTCCAAGGAGCAACTGGTGGGTTTGAACCATCAACCTTGTAATTAGCAATCCAGTGCTTATCCTACACCACCACACCAGGACTAATATCCTGGCAAGTAGTTATAACAACAAAAATATCTTTTGTAAGCACAGCCTATATGTACCAATAGAGCTACAACACTAAATACTATGCTAATTCACTTTTTGAGCCCTTTCAGGTGCCCCAGTCAGAGCTGTCACTATTGGCCAGTTACAATGACGCTTCAAATCACATGGTTTCACCCGTCTGTGTTACTAGCACATACTGCTGCTTTCATTGCCGCCAGTGTTATTATAGTCTCTGATCTTGTCAAACTTTCTAGTATTTAAGCAACAATAATTTTGTAATTAATATTTGTGAACCTGTATCAATAACTTTGTTCTGAGAATGGTGTAGCAATTAAGGAAAAGAGGGAGAAAAATGTAAAATGCTTCTTCTCAGTAACTAATATTTTTGTAGCTAATAATGTAATTCAATGTAGAAAGATCTTACAAAACAATTTAGTTGTTAATATTAATATAATCTAAGAAATGTTACATTTAAGCTATACTAATTACATATTATTCTATTAAAATTGAATTATATTATATAAACATTACTAAAGATTCAGTTGGTAGTGCAGTGGGTTACGAGTTGGGCTGCTAACTGCAAGGTCAGCAATTAGATTCTACCAACTGCTTCATGGAAGAAAGATGAGGCTTTCTGTTCCCATAAAGATTTACAGGCTCAGATACATTATACAAGTCGCTTTGAGTTAGAATTGACTCAATGGCAAATACTCACCACCAACTACCAAGGATTCTGTATGGTATGATAACAGGAAGAGGGTGGGCGGC